CACCCACAGAACTAGTAGTAAAAATTTTTGAAACCCATCACTGATGTCAATACAAGTAGATAAATAGGTACCACTTTGGTGGGAAGGTAACATTGTTCCGTATTTCACCGTACGCTTTGCACTGCGGTGTGATAGTATGGTGGCCACATAATCACTGAAACATTTTTGGACAATGCTGGCTCAATGGTTTAAAGAAACAGAGAAGAGCACCACCCCTAAATTCAGCTACAACTAGTAAAGTAAAACCCACAGGGATTCCCTTACCTTTTTCTTACTACAGCCTTACCGTAACAAAGTGGGGAAGCTGGCTTTGCACAGAATAATATTTTTTTTTCCTATCTCCTTTTCCTTTGAAGGCCATCTTAGATTTGGGATTGCTATATATTCACCTTTTGTGAAGGCATATTACTAAAAACATGTTTTAAAAATGTGAATTTCAAATGATGTGACTTGAAAAAACTTTCCCTGTAATCTAGAATAGAACAGGGGTGTCAAACTCGATTTCATTGAGGGCCACCTGCATCAGGGTTGCGTTTGACCGCAGGGTGCTGGTGTGGGTGAGGCCAGGGAAGCCATGGCCAGCTTGATGCCACTCATGTTGGAGGTGCCTGTGGCGGCCCGAGTCCTTTGCCAGCAAAAACGGAGCCTGGGAGGACCACATGTAGCCCCCTTGAGATCCGTTTTCACTGGCAGAGGGCTGCAGGAGGCTGTCGCGGCCAAAAACGGAGGCTGGGAGGGCTGCACGCGGCCCTCCGTAGCTCTTGTTTTCACTGGCAAAGGCACTGCAGGCTGGTCTTTCACGGTTTCCAGGGTGGCCCTGCAGGCCATATCTAAGCACCCCGCAGGCCGGATCTAACCCGCAGGCCGGATCTAACCCGCAGGCCTTTAGTTTGGCACCCAGTGCAATAGAGCTAAAGAATTATTGACGAGAAACAAAAGAGAAAGGATTTAGAAAGGATCTACATTTTTGACGATGGATTTCAAATCCATAAAACATCAAGAGGTGGTACACTTTTTCTTTTTAGCGGTTCTGAGAATTGTACCTGGCGCCTTACTAATTGTTAAACTCACTTAACTATTGTCTCACTTAGCAACAGAAATTGTGGTTGCTAAGTCAAGGACTACCTTAATTGCCAAAAGTGCTTACAGAAGAAATAGCCCTCCAGTGAATACCTGGAATTATAACATGGTTGATTTTTTTAACCAACAGCAGGAACATCCCTATTCATAAGCAGAAATAATTCTTGGAATTGTATTTGCAAAATGGGAAAATAAAATTACTTTGGGGGAAGGTGGACAGTGGCTTCTCTAGAAATTAATTCTGAAAGATAGCATGTTGTGCAGTTCCTCTACTTTGAATTAAAATAAGCCATTTAATTTCAATTACTGAGACCTCTTGTAACTCTTGAGAAGGGGGACTGTATATTCCATTCAAATAGATGCTACTGGATATTTTCTGGTAATACCTGGTAGTGTCAGCTTTGAGATAGCTCTTATAGCTAAGGCACTGTATATAATCATCTAAAGTGTGAGGGTTGTTAGTTGAATTACCAGTAAAGGGTTAAAACCCCATAGAACAATGTTCTCCAACAGGGCCAATTTCCATGTGTGTAGACTTACAGAATACAAGAGTGGGAAGGGATCTTGGAGGTCTTCTAGTCCAACCCCCTGCTCAAGCAAGGAGACCTTATACCATTCCAGACAAATGGCTGTCTAATCTCTTCTTTAAAAACCCCAATGATGGCACACCCACAACTTCAGGAGGCAAACTGTTTCAGTGATTGTTCTCGCATTTTTTCTATCTTACCAAGAAGTATGCTACGGTCTACTTTGTCAAATGCCTTACTGAAGACTAACTAAATTATGTATACAGTATTTCCCTGATCCACTATTGTATTCTATGTCAAAGAATACAATCTTTCTGTTTTTGGCAGGGTGGATAAAAATCAATGATTTTTTTTAAAAAAATCAAAAAAAATCAGATTTTTTTGATTTTTATCGAATTTATTTTAATAAAAAACTTTTGGGGTAAAAATCTATCGTAAGATAGTTTTCTATTTAAGATACATAAATAATTTAGTTTATTCAGCATGAAATGGAGTTTAGTTATGTAGCATGAGGCTGTATATTCTGCAACACTGGGACTATCGGTGAGTCAACAGTGGGTCAAAGGAGTAGCAGAGATGACAGTTGCTCTTTAAAAATTATGATTTAAATCGAGTTGATTTAAATCAAGCCTTTTTACTAGTGATTTAAATCATGATTTAAATCAAATCCACCCTGGTTTTTGGCATGATCCATTTTTGACAAACCCATATTAGCTTCTATTCATAGCTTTGCACATTTTTCGGTGTTCACACTGTTGCTTGATTGTCTTTTCCAGGATCTTCCCAGTATTGAACTTTAACTTCAATCCCCAGAATTCACAGAAATGGTCAAGCTGTCTAGAGAATTCTGGGAGCTGAAGTCCACACATCTTAAAGTTGCCAAGTCTGAGTTACATGGATTTAAAATGTACCAACTACATCCAGTAACACCAGCCAATTGCAATCGCTGATAAAGAATGATGGGAAATGTAGTTGAACAATATCAGGAGAGCTGTGGGCTCCCTGAGTTAAGTGTACACATCAAAGAAGACTGAAGTAAGTTGAGGAAGAGAGGCAGGGAACAGAACTATGGAGAAAGAAAGTAACACAAAATGCTAGTGATGTGACAGTTGAGAATATCCTGAAGATACAGGATTCAACTCTCCACTCAAATCAACCTTCCTTGGAGTAAAAATGGGAGGGGGTGTTGTGAGTGGGGAATATATGCAGATACATAGTCAAGCTTCAACTTATGCATCACGTTAATTCATGGTTTTTGGTCATTTGTGTTTCGATTAAATCACAAAATTCAGTGGGTAGAGTCAGAAAAAATATTAAACGAACACTAAACAATCACATTAGTCTGACGGTGTCAATACAAATATTTACACTTTGGCTGAGGTTGAGGACTAGGAACTTGGATGAAGAAGCTGGGATTTGATTTAGATGGAAGAAAATGGGTGCTCTACAGCTGGCATGAGTTCCAGGCATAAAAATAAAAGGGAAGAACTTTGCCTAATACTAGATTCACATTTGAGATTTCCACGGCATGAATGTTTACAGATATTTTTACTTAAGCCTATTCTTCTTCTTATTTATTTATTAAATTTTTATAACGCCCTTCTCCCGAAGGACTCAGGGCGGTGTACAGCCAAAATAAAAACCAACAATATAAAAGTTAAAAACAATTTAAAATTATTAAATAGTTTGGCATTTCTGATTTTTTTGCTCAAAACACCAGTTATCAACAATTTGAAGAAGCAATGTTTCTTTCCTTGCCATGAGCACTAATTAAAATTTGAAATGGTTTCAACGAACACGTATTTTCTTTCTTTTAATTATTAATTTTTCTGATAAAAGCTCTTCAGTCCTAAGGAACAGTGGTTTTGAAGTGTACTTGGGCTGACAGAGATTTTGCACACGAGTGAAAAGAGATAATGAAAAACACTGACTCACAAATGCGTCAACCTTATGTACAAAACAGCATCATGTTTTGTGCAAATCCCATCTGTGGGATTACGCAACAGTTCAGAATCCATATCAAAAACTTTAAAAAATTGAATTCCATGGAACCATGGTTCTGAAACTGCAATTAAACTCAGAAATTAAAGAGAAAGAATTAGGTGTACTGTAGATGTGGGATGAATTGGACATCAAAAAATTAAATATTTTTATAAATAAATCTCTTATTTATAAATTCAGCACTCTGAGTATCCAAAGTTTAAATGTTCTTCTTTACAACACTTTCCTTGCTAATACAAAAGGAAAATGTCAAGGCCATTGGGTAGAATATTATCTTGCTATTTTACAGCAGATTTCTGCATTGCAGGAAGACAGTTCCCTCCACAGATGGGAGACTCCAATGGACACAGCTAAATGACACAAAGTCAGGTGACATAAATCCACTCTGGTTCTTCTAATTTTTAATTTGAGTATTACAGGTAGCCCTTGACTTATGACTACAATTGGAACCACAATTTCCATTGCTAAGCAAAACCATCATTAAGAGAGTCATGCCTGATTTTACAACCCTTTTTTTGCCACGGTTGTTAAGAGAATCATTACGGTTGCTAAATGAATCACAGCGTTGTTAAGAGAATCCAGCTTTCTCCACTGACTTTGCTTGTCGGAAGCCAACTGGGAGGGTCGCAAAAGGCAATCATGTGACCCCGGGATGCTGCAACCATAGTAAAAACAAGTTGGTTGCCAAGCGTTTGAATTTTGATCACATGACCGTGGAGATGCTGCCAAGGTCCTAAGTGTGAGGTCCTAAGTGTGAGGACCATCGTAAGTCACTTTATTCAGTGCCACTGCAACTTCAGTCGCTAAACAAATGGTTGTAGTAATAGCAATAGCACTTAGACTTATATACTGCTTCACAGAGCTTTTACAGCCCTCTCTTAAGCAGTTTACAGAGTTACCATATTGCCCCCAACAATCTGGGTCCTCATTTTACCAACCTCGGAAGGACGGAAGGCTGAGTCAACCTTGAGCCTGGTGAGATTCAAACTGCCAAATTGCAGGCAGTCGGCAGTCAGCAGAAGTAGCCTGCAGTACTGCACTCTAACCACTGCGCCACCACAGCTCTTGTAAGTCAAGGACTACCTGTATTAACTACTTGTATCATTGCAAACACAAAAATCAAGAATTGCTGGTCTTGAATAACTTCCAACTGCTTTCACCTCTCCTCCACCATTTCTTCCCATCACTGTTTCCTGCAAATAAAATGACAAAGCGAACTTCAAAACAGAAGGAATTTAAAAACTGTTCCAAGCTGTTGAGAGGGAGAGAAGGGAGAAGGGAGGGTGTTCCTTTTAAGGGTTTGGAGAGGGTTTTTTGCTTTAAAAGTTCAAAGAGGGAGGGAAGTACTTCATGAGGAAAAACAAAGAACAAAAAAAAAGTTCTCCATTTACATAGCATACAAAACTTTATAATTATAATCTGTACAAACTCAGATCCTGTTACAATATTTACAAAACCATCACTCAGCCATGAATATCTTTATCTCCTTCGCTGTCTCCACTTTCTGAGAAAACACAGAATTATTGGGCACAAAGAAAGTCACTGCTTATCCGCGAGAGACTAAAAAAAATTGCAAAAAAAATCTGCAACTCCTAGCAGGAGACCCCTTTCCCCCCTAGATTTGCAGAAAGGGATCTCTGGAGTCTGGAGTTTCATATCTCAGGAAATTTAAAAAAACAGACAAGATCAGAGCTGTGGTTTTCACATCCTTATATCATCACATCCTTTTCAAAGGAATGGTGTCTGAATTATGCAGAGCTAGAAATTCAAAAGCCAAGGTATAAGCTGTATGCTGAGAGAAGAACCAAATCTTCCTGAAATGGAAGGATTTTAGACTGGATTATTTCAGACTGCAGACAGAAGTGGAGAAGGATGGGATAGGTTTAACCTTGGTTTCCCAACACATTACCATATTTTTCGGAGTATAAAACGCACCTTTTCCCCCCAAAAAAGAGGGTGAAAATCTGGGTGCGTCTTATATTCCGAATGTAGCCCCGCCCAGCTTCTCAAACGGAGGTTTCAGAGGCTGAAAAAAGCATTAGATACGAAGCTTCAGAAAAGAAGCCCCCAAACAGAGCTTCAGAGGCTTTTTTTCTGAAGCTCTATTTCTGAGGCTTTCAGAGGCAGGAAAAAAAGTTTTTTCTGAAATGGAGTTTCAGAAGTTTCAGAGGCAGGAAAAAAAAGCAAAAAAAAAAAGCAAGGCACAGAGCTCACAACCAAGGAATCTGTTGCTAAAATTCACCTCTGGGAACAGCTGATGGGGGTATTCTGGAGGCCAATCCACCTGCCAATCAGCTTTTTTCTTATTTTCCTCCCCAAAAACCAAGGTGCGTTTTATACTCCGGTGCGTTTTATACTCCGAAAAATACGGTAGTTTCTAGACACAGGGAGTTTTGAGGCAGGAACATATGGAAAGAAAAATAGGAGAGAATGTTTATAGTTAGAATGTCTCTCCCAGCTCTCTCCCCCCAATTCTCTGCGTGAAGCAAATTCATACACCAAGAAAAGCTCTTCTCTTTCCTACAGTTGTCTATTTTTCTGCAACTTGAACAACTCTAAAAAATGCTTCATTTTTTTTTAATGCAGCATTTTAACCCTTCCTGAATGTTGAGCTAAAAGCTGCCATTTGTATTTAGGGATATCAATGCAACTTTGGCACTGGCCAAATTCCATTTGCTACCAGAAGTGCCAATCAATTCAAACTCCTCCAGTGTCTCCCATGGATTTCTCTTGGTGCTTTGGCCCAGGAAAGTCTTCTCCACCAAGGGGTGGATAAAACCACCTGCAGCTGTTTCTGGAAGTTGTATCTTATGTTGGGGTTTTTTTGAATGGAGTTTCTGAGGTGAGCTGCAAAACTCCTCACAAATCCCATCTGGGGAAGGCAAAGAGTCCTGGCGTCCATCATGAGTAGCTGAGGGGCATTCTTCTCCAAAGACCACCACAAAGGCAATTCTTGATCCATCGTTGCTCCCACTGCTTCACAGCCGTGGTCTTATTGGGAGAACGGAGCATTGTAACACAGCCGCACCTAAACAGGGGACAATATGGCACCTAGCTGAGAAACTTCTCCAGAAGGTGTGGAGCAAAAAATGGTCTCCTCAAAAAACGTTTTAATTTTTTTTTTAAAACAGGGTTTCCTGTATGAACCCAGATGACTTTGGGTTATCCCTCTGTCTCAGCCCAACCTATCTCACAGGTTTGTTGTTGTGGGGAAAATGGGAGGAGGAAGGACCATCTCCATGGTCACATGGTCAAAATTCAGGCGCTTGACAACTGGCATGTATTCATAATGGCTGCACTCTCCCGGGGTCAAGTGATTACCATTTCTAACCTTCCCAGCTGGCTTCTGACAAGCAAAGTTAATGGGGGAAAGCCAGATTCAATTAATAACCCTGGCAAAAAGGTCATAAAATGGAGCACAACCCACTTGTTTGCTTAGCAATGGAAATTTTGGGCTCCACTTGGTCATAGAGTGAGGACTACCTGTATTTTATATCAGGTTTACATATATCCAGTGGGATTCAGCCGGTTCGCATCAGTTCAGGTAAACCGGTTGTTAAATTACCCACCTACCCCCGCTATCAAAGTGGATCCTGGGCGCTGCGCTGCAATGGAGAACCGGGCAACGGAGCGGCCTGTGTGAGGGAAGGAGAAGGTTGCCTTCCCTCTTTCTTCTCCCTGCTCCTCTTCCTTCCCTCGTGCCGGACGCTCCGTTGCCTGTTTCTCCATTGCAGCACCCAGGATCCACTTTGATGGGGGTGGGTGGGTAATTTAGTTGGCCGTCACAGGAGGCTCGTCCCGCATGTGTGGAGGAAGTGGAGCATGGGGATGGGCCACGCTTCCCACAACAGGAGCCTTCCTATCCAGGAGCCTGGATAGCTCAACAGACAGAGCACTGTAATTTAACACCAGCTGTCTGCAATTAAAGTAAGATCGAATCTCGCCAGGCTCAAGGTTGACTCAGCCTTCCATCCTTTCTAAGGTAGGTAAATTGAGGACCCAGTTTGTGGGGGCAATAAGCTGACTTTGTATAAATATACAAAAGTATGAAGGCTATTGCTTAACACACTGTAAGCCGCCCTGAGTCTCAGGAGAAGAGCGGCATATAAATCAAATTAAAAAAAAAACAAAAAACAGCCAACCTGACCCTGGGCGAACTGGTTGTTAAATTATTTGAATCCCACCACTGCGATATATCCTCCACAACTTATAAAGAGAGGAGCCATCATTAGGCGTTTTGTCTTAACTCTCTACTTGATTGTAGAAACGTTTTTTCACCCTTTACAAACTTCGACTAGCAGCTGCAATTTCTCTCTGCTGTAGGGCAGGAAGAATCAGCACCTTAAGTTGCAGTTAAGATGTATTGCTTAATCCTATACACAAGAATCTAGTCACTAAATTGGCACTAGATAAGAATCAATGGGATTCAAGAGGGCTTGGACTCAGATCATTTGTGATTCTAGGCTTGAACTCCATACCCACATACCTCACCCATCCTCGGTTCTGCCTATTCTTCTCCTACATTTGCTTACATTTAGTCTGTTTGGGATTAGGTTCAAAATTTAAGAGAAATCTTTTGGGGGGGACTGAACTCTTCCTTCCCTCAGCCTGGGATGCTAACCTGGTACAGGACTTGCATTCTTCAGTAGGATAAGCTCCAAGATGGAGCCGTCGCAGGTGGTCAATCTTTGGGTATCCAGTGGTCCTGGGAATGAAGACAACACTGGTTAGATAGCACAGTGCCAAATGCCATGGGGAGAGACAATCCCTCAGGGTGATAACACAACAATGCCATCAAGAGTGGGAGACACCAATTTCCCTGCCCCTATTATTCCACATAGGATAGGAGGGGGGTTAACAGCTTTTTAAAAACGAACACAGCTGGGTTCGTGAAGGTTGCAAAGGGGTTAATATACCCAATTTTGATGCTTATTTTTTTTTAAATAATCAAGGAACAGCACTGCTCTAAAATCAGTGATTTGCTGCCATCTGGGAGTTGCAAAAACGAACTGAGGCTCATGTGAGCTGTAGAAAGATTACAACCAAGGCTAATTTGGGCCAAATCACCGAGTCAAAGAACTTGTATTTCAGGATCTCTTTCCTTTCTGCTTGTTTTTAACTGGATCTATTAAAACAGTAGTTTTTCCAACTTGGTCATTTTAAGATGTGTGGATTTCAACTCCCAGAATTCACCAACCAGCCATGCTGACTGAGGAATTCTGGGAGTTGAAGTCCACATGTCTTAAAGCGGCCAAGTTGGAAAAACCACTGTATTATTAAAATCTATGGAGATTCTCAGTCGTCCACGTCATGGTTGTCCCAAAGGTGCTTTCTTTCAAGAGGCCACTGGATTTTCTTGTTTTTCTTGGAAGACGTTTCGCTTCTCTTCCAAGAAGCTTCTTCAGCTCTGACTGGATGGTGGGGAATGGAAGGATTTATATTCCTTGCAGACAGCTGGTTGAAAAAAAAATGCAAATGACCAGCTGTCTGCAAGGAGTATAAATCCTTCCATTCCCCACCATCCAGTCAGAGCTGAAGAAGCTTCTTGGATGAGAAGGGAAACGTCTTCCAAGAAAAACCAGAAGGTCCAGTTGCCTCTTGAAAAAGCACCTTTGGGCCTGTATTAAAGTGAGGTGATCTTTCAATAAGTACTATGAAAGCTTTAAGCAAGAGTAAAACCCATAAAGGACCATCCCTCCAGCAGGCCAAGAAGCTTCCCTGTCGGGTCAAGAGAAAAACCAGCTTGCCCACAATGCACCTGGTAAATGCATCGCACGGAACTGAAGCAGAGTGTCCAACAATCCCGGGAAGCTTTCCAAATTGCAGCCGGACTGGCTGCTTGTTCTGCAGCTTGCTGATGATGGCATCGTTCACCGGAAGCCAATCCATGTTTGGGATGAGGAGCTGGCTGGGTAGGAGGCAGCATTCATCGATCAAGGTATCGTCTGGCTCGCTGGGATGCCCTTCGTCACGACCTGTCCAAGGGGGGGAAAGGCTTTGGATCAGTGTCTTTCATCCTTGGCTGCTTTAAGAGGCATGGACGTCAACTCCCAGAATTGATGTGTATTGGATCACAAACACCTATTTTCACCTGGGGATCATTTGTAGATAAACTATGAAGGGAGTTTCTATTTAAAAAAAGAAAACTGGCAGCAAAAACATGTATCTTTCTTTCTTTCTTTCTTTCTTTCTTATTTATTTATTTGATTGATTGATTGATTGATTGATTGATTCAATTTATATGCCGCCCTTCTCTGGAGACTCAGGGCGGCTTACAATGCGTTAAGCAATAGCCTTCATACTTTTGTATATACCTGCTTAGTAGGGCTTTTGGCCCCCCCTAAGAAGTGTTCTTTTTTATACAAAGTCAGCTTATTGCCCCCACAATCCGGGTCCTCATTTTACCTACCTCGGAAGGATGGAAGGCTGAGTCAACCTTGAGCCTGGTGAGATTTGAACTCGCAGTAATTGCAGGCAGCTAGCAGCTAAGTGCTACTTAACAGCACTTTCGTCCACTGCACCACCAAGGCTCCTTATTATTACTTCTATTGCTTAACGCATTGTAAGCCGCCCTGAGTCTCCGGAAAAGGGCGGGATATAAATCAAACCAATAAATATTGTTTTATGGGAATTTTTTAAAAATCCATTTTAAAGAAAAGAAATGGCTATTTTTTTCTCAAGTCTGGGACATAGACTGGACTACAGGTAGTCCTCAACGTACGACCATAAATGAGTCCAAAATTTCTGTTGCTAAGCGAGACATATGTTAAAGTGAATTTTGCCCCGTTTTAGGACCTTTCTTGCCACAGTGAAGTGAAGTGAATCACTGCGGTTAAGTTAGTAACATAATTGTTAAGTGGATCTGGCTTCCCCATGGACTTCGCCTGTCACAAAAGGTGATCACATGACTCCAGGACACGGCAACTGTCAGAAATGTGAGTCAGTTGTCAAATCATGTGACCAAAGAGATGCTACAACAGTCGTAAGTGTGAAAAACGGTCATAAGTCACTTTTTTCAGTGCCGTTGTAACCTCAAACGGTCACTAAACGAACTGTTGAGGACTACCTGTATCTGGTCTCCTTCTTTATCATCTTAAAGTGAAAAAGGAGAGTGCGTGGGCTTGTCTCACAAACCAATACTGAAACATATGTGGATCAAAACCTATGCTTGGAAATGGTTTGTTTTGAGCTCAGAATGCTCAAATGGCTTCTGAGCTTTGAATGAGTCACATCTGGAATGTTCTACACACCATTTCTTGGTGCTCCAAGCCTTCAAGCCACAACTTTTCCTATGTTTGGCAGCACATCAGATTACTCACAGCACAACCACAATTTGGTAAGAAGCCGGAAGAGGAGGGACATGCTGTCCTGCGTGTCAGATGTGGCCGTATAAATGGGAAGACAGCTTGGCTTCAAGAGGCCCCAGATCCGGATCATGACCATCAGTTCGCGGAGCATCCCTAGGGAGGCCCCATCCCGAAGGAAACTATGACCTGGGCGAACAGGTCCTGATGTGGGTCCAGAACCCTAAAGGCAGAAAAAAGAACCTGAAGGTTGTTCAAGGCTGAAATGATGCACACAATACTACAATTAACATTATTGGTAGACTTATAATAGAACAAAACAGTGGTGAAATTCAATTTTTTTTACTACCGGTTCTGTTGGTATGGCGTGGCTTGGTGGGCATGGCAGGGGAAGGATACTGCAAAATCTCCATTCCCTCCCCACTCCTGGGGGAAGGATACTGCAAAATCTCCATTCCTTCCCCACTCCTGGGGGAAGGATATTGCAAAATCTCCATTCCCACCCCACTCTGGGACCAGCCAGAGGTGGTATTTGCCGGTTCTCCGAACTACTCAAAATTTCCGCTACCGGTTCTCCAGAACCAGTCAGAACCTGCTGGATTTCACCCCGGAACAAAAGGAATACTCAAACTGACTAGAAGCTTGAATTACCCTACAGCAATGACCCTACATCAAATGTGACAATGAACCTACTGCAAAATTTGCATTATGAGTCAATAGCAATAGCAATAGCACTTAGACTTATATACCGCTTCACAGTGCTTTACAGCCCTCTCTAAGCGGTTTACAGAGTCAGCATATTGCCCCCAACAATCTGTGTCCTCATTTTACTGACCTCGGAAGGATGGAAGGCTGAGTCAACCTTGAACTACTCACAATCGAACTGCCAAACTGCTGGCAGCTGGCAGTCAACAGAAGTAGCCTGTATTCTAATCACTGTGCCACCGCAGCTCTTAAATGTCCTTAAATATCCCTATCTACCCATCCTTGGAAATTCTGACTTTGCTTGATTTCCAGAGCAAACCCATAGTTTCTAATGAGGTTACTCATAATCACCAAGGCAGGAGTGGGGATAAAGGGTTGAGGGCTACCAAGCTGTCTATCTTAACTAGCAATGGTTCTCTGGGATGGGCCCATCTGACTTTTCTTGGTCAAAAATACTCGGCTTCAATCGTTAGGAATGCTTCAGTTTTAGAAATCTCAGCTAATGAAATAATGCAGTTTTAACTGATTCAGTAAGCAAACCAAATCTGCATAAACCTTGTTGTTCCACCAGGCCGGGCTATCAATGTAAATATTTTAATTGGTTTTAAATGTGGGATTTTAAATTTTGGGCTTTTATAATTGAGCCAATTATTTAATAATTTTAATTACTTTTAATTTTTTTCTGTCTTTGTGCTTTTAATCAGGCTGTACTCTGCCCTGAGTCCTTCGGGAGAAATAAAATAATAATAATAATAATAATAATAATAATAATAATAATAATAATAATAATAATAATAATTTATTATTAATTATTATTATTATTATTATAAATAAGAAATAAAATATTCAACAGAAATAGATGATACTTGCACTGGGTACACCACTTAAAGCTACCGTGTTTCCCCGAAAATAAGACCCTGTCTTATATTTTTTTGAACCCTGAAATAAGCGCTTGGCCTTATTGCCATGTGCTCAAAAGCCCGATTGGGCTTATTATCAAGGGATGTCTTATTTTGGGGGAAACAGGGTAGGAATCCTGGTTTAATTAGTCAGGATTTAAATGGGGTAGTATACGCGGTGGCTCAGTGGCTAAGACGCTGAGCTTGTCGATCGAAAGGTCGGTAGTTCAGCGGTTCAAATCCCTAGTGCTGCGTAACGGGGTGAGCTCCCGTTACTTGTCCCAGCTTTTGCCAACCTAGCAGTTCGAAAGCTGCAAGTAGAAAAATAGGGAGCACCTTTGGTGGGAAGGTAACAGCGTTACATGCGCCTTTGGCATTTTGTCATGCCGGCCACATAACCACGGAGATGTCTTTGGAAAGCGCTGGCTCTTTGGCTTTGAAACGGAGATGAGCACTGCCCCCTAGAGTCGGGAATGACTAGCACATATGTGCGAGGGGAACCTTTACCTTTACACCAGTACATGCACTGTTTACTTTGTAGGATAAACAAGCAAGAAAGGACATTTCTGTGTAACACTGTGTAACAGCTGAATCCATACAAATCATTAAATACATTGCATAAAACTAAGCCACTTTTGATGTAATGGTTAAGAGACTGGGAGACTGAGAATTCCAGTCCTGTCTTAAGCATGAAGTCAGCTGAGTGATCTTCTCAACTCTCTCAGCCTTAGAAAAGAAGCTATGGCAAACTACTTCTGAAATCTTGTCAAGAAAACTGCAAGAACCTCCTTGCCAGGAGCCAACATTGACTTGAAGGCAAAAAATAAACAATCAAAAACAACCTTCTCGTTAAAACCTGGCTTATAATTCTATCCCAGTGCTTTTCAAACTTGGCAACTTTTAAATACCGTATTTTTCAGAGTATAAGACGCACCTTAGTTTTTGGGGAGGAAAATAAGAAAAAAGCTGATTGGCAGTGGATCGGCCTCCCAGAATACCCCCAATCAGCTGTTCCCAGAGGTGAATTTTAGCAACAGGTTTGTTGATTGTGAGCTCTGTGTCTTGCTTTTTTTTCCTGCCTCTGAAACTTCTGAAACAGCTTCAGATAAAAAGCCTCTGAAGCTCTGTTTGGGGGCTTCTTTTCTGAAGCTTTGTTTCTGATGCTTTTTTCAGCCTCTGAAACCTCCGTTTGAGAAGCTGGGCTGGGCTACATCCAGAGTATAAAACGCACCCAGATTTTCACCCTCTTTTTGCTGGGAAAAAGGTGTGTTTTATACTCCGAAAAATACGGTATGTAGATTCCCATGACTCACGCTGGCTGCTGCTGGGATTCTTGGAGGTGAAGTCCACATATCTTAAAGTTTCCAAATTGGAAACACAGCACAGTCTTGCTCATTTTGGTTCAATAAAACATAAGCCCGTATATCATGGGCTTCATATATGATGAAGCTCTTTCTTCCTGATTTGTTTGGGTGCAGGGTAAAACAAAGAGGCACCATGTATTATTATATCCCATTATTATTAAGTCAAGATACCTGATTCAAAAATAATGTGCAATCAAAACCATAACAAAACCATAACAAAACCATAATGAGCCAAGGTGGCGCAGTGGTTAGAGTGCAGTACTGCAGCTACTTCAGCTGACTGCTAGTTCAGCAGATCAAATCTCACCGGCTCAAGGTTGACTCAGCCTTCCATCCTTCCGAGGTGGGTAAAATGAGGACCCAGATTGTTGGGGGCAATATGCTATTTAATATACTGTCTTTGATAAATAACTAACTACAGTCTTCATATTATATGTGGCAACTGAAAAGAGATGAGAAGAGGCATCACTGAGAAGAGGCATTCCTGTATTTAAAGGGCAAGAGAAGGCCTCACTTTAAACAAACAGTCGGTATCTGTCGATATTAGAACTCAAATGGTGAATTTGACAAAGAAGTTTACCCTCCATTAAGCAAACAGCGTCATGGGGCATCTGCCAAACCTCACCTGGTTCGGGAGACTGGCGAGCAAATAGAGCACAAAGTCCCCAACCCACTGGATCAGTTGTTGGAGAGATTGCAAGGTGGTCATCTCCAGCACAAATTCTTCTGTCTTCAAATTAATCATCACTTTGTCGATATCTGAAAGGATCAATGGGAGGAAACTTCAAGGAGATAGATAGCGATTAGACATTAGGAAGAACTTCTCGACAGGAAGAACTGTCAATCAAGTGGATCAGGTCAGTGCGTGGAATGGTTTCTTCCCCTTCACTGGAGGTCCCAAAGATGCTTTTTTTCAGAAGGTGACTGGACTTTCTGGTTTTTTTCTTTTGAAGACGTTTCTTTTCTCATCCAAGAAGCTTCTTCAGCTCTGACAGGATAGTGGGGAATGGAAGGATTTATATTCCTTGCAGACAGCTGGTATAAAAAAACCTCCAAGTGCTTCAACAACTCTCTAAAAGGATGCAAATGACCAGCTGTCTGCAAGGAATAGCAATCCTTCCATTCCCCACTATCCTGTCAGAACTGAAGAAGCTTCTTGGATGAGAAGCGAAACGTCTTCAAAGAAAAACCCCAGAAAGTCCAATTGCCTCCTGAAAAAGCACTTCTGGGACAACCATGACCCCTCTGACTGAGAATCTCTACAGACCTTCACTGGAGGGTTTCAAATAGAAGCTGGATAATCATCTTTCAGGAACAGTGCAGTGCAGTGTTTCACAACCTTGGCAGTTTGAAGATGTCTGGACCTCAACTCCCAGAATTCACTGGTATAGTGAATCCCTGCAGTGTATGAGGGACTGGACCTGATGAGTCCTTCCAACTCTATGATTCTATGATCAATCAATCATGTCCATCTAATCAGCAAGATTGGCCCCTGATTTGAGGGCATTTTTATTTTAGGCCTATGAAGTATTTTGGATTACAATTTCCAAAAACTCTTGCTATTAGCTTTACTGGTTAATACTAATGAGATCTGTTCAAGGCCCCGGAGAATACTAGCTTTCTTCTCCCAATACAAGTAGTCCTTACTCAGTGACTGTTCGCAGTTATAATGGTAATGAAAAAGTAGCTTTGTGACCAAGCCTCATATTTAGGACCTTAGTAGGTCTGTAAAGGAAAGGAAAGTTTTATAATATCGTAAGCATAGTTCTTGTGGTTTCAATTAGTGACTGCCTCATTTAGTGACTTGAGATGCCGGTAATATATATATACACATATATACATACATACATACATACATACATATATACTGTATACATACATACAAACATACATACATACATACATACATACATACGTGTATATATATATATCCTAAATTAAAAAAAATGGCAATATTCCTAAAGCAGCAAATTTCATCAGATCTATTATGAATGAATAATTTTCTAAACTGGAACCAATTCATTAGTCATTTCATTGTAAATTCCTTCCTTCCTTCCTTCCTTCCTTCCTTCCTTCCTTCCTTCCTTCCTTCCTTCCTTTCTTGGGAGAATTTTATGGGTAAACAGTTTGTCATAATTTATTAGTTCCTTCAAATTTAACTAAGTTGTAAAAGTTTCCCTTTTCTCTAGGACAGGGGTCTCCAAAGCAACTTTAAGACTGGTGGACTTCAACTCTCAGAATTGCTCAATCAGCATGGCTAGCGAAAGAATTCTGGGAGTTGAAGTCCACAAGTCTGAAAGCTGCCATGTCTGGAGCCCCCTGCTCTAGGATACCAACAGACACAGACATATTGATAAAATAAGAGAATAAGAAACAGTAACGAGAAACTTTGGGATTATTTGATTCTCTGTGATACTGATATTACCAAAAAGCAAGCAGGCATGTCACATCCTAACAAAGAAAAGAATACAGAATACTAAGAGGTCAGTTTTGCAAATCAAACAACGTTGACATTATCAGAGAATGTCAAAATACCACCTTTGGTTATGAAATTGTCTTTCAACCAGGACTATAACCTGGAGGGAGGGAGAGAACGAGGAAAAAGGAACGTCTATAACAGCGTTTTCCAATCTGGACAACTTTAAGATATGTAAACTTCAACTCCCAGAATTCAAACCAGCTATGCTTGGCTGGAGGAGACGTGGTGGCTCAGTGGCTAAGATGCTGAGCTTGTTGATCAAAAGGTCGGCAGTTCAGCAGTTCGAATCCCTAGTGCCGCGTAATGAGGTGAGCTCCCATTACTTGTCCCAGCTTCTGCCAATCTAGCAGTTCGAAAGCACGTAAAAAAAAAAATGCAAGTAGAAAAATAGGGACCACCTTTGGTGGGAAGGTAACAGCGTTCCATGCGCCTTTGGCCTTTAGTCATGCCGGCCACATGACCACAGAGACGTCTTCGGACAGCGCTGCCTCTTCGACTTTGAAACGGAGATGAACACCGCCCTCTAGAGTTGGGAACGACTAGCACATATATGCGAGGGGAACCTTTATCTTTTTATGCTTGGCTGGGGAATTCTAGAACTCCACATATCTCAAAGGTGCCCAGGTTGGGAAACACTGGTCCACCTGATGGTTAAAAAAATATGTCAGAATGGTGGCTTTGGCAATGCAATTGAAATTCTGCCATTTTTGCGTACGTTGATGCCCACAAAATAACAGACAAGGCTTCAGTCATGGTGTTTGGCCACCATTTGAAAGTTTTGATTCTTTCGCCATACAACCTTGAAAATAAAAGAACTTTTAAAATGAGCTTTTACCCCACCTCCTTTGGAAAATCTAGCAGACCAGGAGAGGACCAGGCCTTTTGAACATACCTATATCAGTGATCTTGGCACAGATCTCTGTCAGCCTGTCTCCAGGTGTCTTGTCAGGCGTGTTGAGGACTGGGGGCCGGAGCAGGGATTTCAGGGTGCAACTGATGGCGATCAGGAAAAGCTTAGCGTGGTAGTCGCACACGCGTGCCACCGTACTGGAGGAGAGCTTGCAAAGGGAGGCTTTCATGGCAATGATCCGTGTGGACAGAACCTGTCACAGGAGGGACGAGATCACCCGTGAGAATGCTGCTCCTTTTAGCATGGACGTTCACACATTAAAGTCAAGAAATAAATGACGCTGGGTTCACTTGTGGTTTAACTTCTAGCAGTTCAGGTCAGGGGTGAAATTCAGCAGGTTCTGGAGAACCGGTAGCGGAAATTTTGAGTAGTTCGGAGAACTGGCAAATGCCACCTCTGGCTGGCCCCAGAGTGGGGTGGGAATGGAGATTTCGCAGTATCCTTCCCCCAGGAGTGGGGAAGGAATGGGGATTTTGCATTACCCTTCCCCCGGGAGTGGGGAGGGAATGGGGATTTTGTAGTGTCCCTCCTCTGGAATGGGATGACAATGGAGATTTTGAGTATCCTTCCCCTACCACACCCCCAAGCCACACCACGCCCCCCCCAAACCACACCCACAGAACCGGTAGTAAAAAAATTTGAATTCCACCACTGGTAAAGGTTTATTCCAAACACACTTGGCTAACCATGATTTAGCTCAGGTGAAACCATGGTTTAAACATGCAACAGAATGAGTCCAAGCACTATTATATATGGCCAGGTAACACCACTATTCTGTGAACTGTGCTGCCCCACCCCCCATCCAATCAGCTTCCAGGTACCATTCAATTATTACCTAAAGAGCCCTACACAGATAGTCCTTGACTTATGACCACAAATGGGAACGGAATTTCAGCCATAAGTTGTTGTAAGTCAAGACACTTGGTCATGATTGTATGTTTTTACAGCAGCCATTAGGCCAATCGTGAAACTTCTAAATCAGAGGTCTCCAACCTTAGCAACTGTAAGACTTGTGGACTTCAACTTCCAGAATTCCTCAGCCAGCAAATTTTTGCTGGCTGAGGACTTCTGGGAGTTGAAATCCACAAGTCTTAAAGTTGCCAAGGTTGGAGACTCCTGGTCTAAATCATTCTTCTGAAGAAAGAATAGCCCCCCCCCCCAAAAACCCCATAGCAAATAGTGGTCCCGCGACCACAGGACACTAGTTGTAAATGCGAGCCGAAATGTGGTCGTATGACCACGGGAGGAGAGGAGAATTTTGACTTACTTTCAAGCAGAAGGAAACAAGATGGGAATGCACGATTGAAGGCAAATATACGTGCCCCAGGATAATATTGCAAGATCCAATCTGGGTGAGTCACCAGGACAGAGATTTACTCTTCCGAGCTTTTGGATTCGTGCTAGAGCCCATCTTCAGAGAACTTCTCTCTACTGGAATATGTGCTTTGGGCTATTGTGAGTCAAATCTATGTGGTGCCTTCCTATTGGTTGATTGGTGTGTTGATGGCCAGCAACTGGCTGTTGTTTCCTTGTGCCGTCAAGCCCTCGGCTCCTAAGCACCTGATAAGCTGGTGGGAAATCAGCACTCCTCTTGACTGAGGAGGGACCCATTTACCAGGCTTCAATCATTTCCCTGGCTATTTTTGTACCTGCTCGGCCAACTATTTTAGTAGCTGCAAAATTGAATGCATGTTTCGAAGATGGGAACTCACCTGCTGCAGGGCGGCATTCTGGCGCATGTATTCCTCGTGCAGCTTTTCCACCAGATTCTGCACCATGCCGGGCTGGACGTGAAGCAGGATGTCCCACCAGTCATACCCTGTCACCATGCAGTACTCCAGCAGGAAAAGCAAGTGACGGAGGGAAATATTCATATCCAGAACGTGCCCCATGGAGGGAGAGATCCTGAACATGCTAAGCTGCAGAGAGCAAGGGGACAGACAGAAATGACATGTCGGATGCAGCCAGGAAGTCAATTATCTCCGGCAAGATTAACGCTGGGCACTTTCCAGGATTCTGCTCTTGTTTGAACCAGGGACCTGCTGCATTGCTTGCCCGATTGTGAAGCTTGACTCATTTGTTTGAGCTATCCGGTCTCCTAGGTTTGGCAATAATTCCTTGTTTTGCCCGGGTTGATCTCGGAGAAAATGAAGGACTTTCCAGTTAAATGCACAACAAAGCAAAGAGGCACTTCCTTTACAAAGTGTTGGACTTATTTATGGAATTCCCTGCAACAAGCTGTAGCGATAGCCAATAATTTAAAGGCCTTCAAAAGGAAGTTACTTGGATTCATGATGGAGGGAGCAAATAAGCTATTATTTGCAGGGCTTAACATGCCTTTCCAATCAGAACAAACCCAAGCAGCTTATGTACCCTATCAATTTAAAGAAAGTTAAAATGTACAGATCGAATGTTATCATTCAAAAACCAGCTGTGGAGACAAATCCCTTGTGTGTCCAATCACACTTGGCCAATAAAGAATTCTATTCTATCAATATAATTTTTCATTCACTCATCTTCAGAATACAGGGAGTATCAGCTCACAAAACTGAGATGCTCGTGTGAAAAACAACACAGGGAGATAGAGATGCCTGATGCCTTCAGAGACATTTGGCTGTCTGCTCTATGAATCCGGAAGCAGGTGAGAGGATTTTTCTTATGATCCAATCCAGCTCTTATGTTTTTGTCTTGGAAAAAAGGGGAACTACAAGTAATCCTTGACTTACGACCACAATTGTGCCCCAAATTTCTGTTGCTAAGCAAAGCAGTTTCCTTAAGTGAGTAGTGCCCCATTTTATGACCTTTTTGCCACAGTTATTAAGTGAATCATGCAGCTGTTAAACGAATTTGGCTTTCCCCCATTGACTTTGCTTGTCAGAAGCAAGTTGGGAAGGTTACAAAGGGTGATTAGACGACGACCCCAGGACAGTGCAACTGTCATAACTACATGCCAGTGGCCAATGGCTCGAATTTTGAATTGGGGATCCTGCAATGGTTGCTTGAAAATTGGTCGTAAGTCACTCTTTTCATGGCCTTTGTAATTTTGAACAGTCACCAAACAAATGGTTATAACTTGAGGAGTCCCTGTAAAAATCTTTCTTGGCCTCTCTGCTTTAAATACTGAGGCGATCTTACTCTGTACCCTCAATTGTACCTTTCCATGGCTATCGACCCCAACTAAGGCCAGCGAAGTCCAAGACATCTGCATCGCTTTGAAGTAGACCAGAGGGCCCGAAGTTCTCTGCCTTTTGATGGTCTGCTCATCCACCGGGCGCTGCGAGCTGGAGCCATAAAACACTGCCATGGTTTGCAAGGAGAGACGGTTGATGATGTGGACGCTGCCATCATGGAAAGCAAGCGCCAGGCCTGGAACAGAGGTGGGTAAATTGCAAAGGGATTTTTATAAATGGGTTACCGAGAGAAGTAGGGCTGCAGTGCATTCCTTCTGGACTATTCTATTATTTTATCCCTCAGCTAGGCCAACCCAACATCACTGTTGGGAGACACTTCTGCTCACAGCTTAGTATTCGTGGCAAATTACTAATTTGGTAAGTTTCTAAATAAAGTTCTAATTAGGATTAGGAAAAAGATGCATCTATGATTCCCAAGACTTGATATCCCACTTTTAGGCATTTATAATTTTCTTATGAGAGCCAATTTGGTGTACAGGTAGTTCTCAGTTTAGGACCGGTTGCTTAGTGACCCTTTGAAGTTCTGATGGAGCTATCTCGGGGTTACTTATGACCTAGATTTGAAGTCCCATTGGTCACTCCCTCTGCGGCCCAGAACAGGAAGTAGGGAGTACCTTGGAACTCACTCACACTAGCAGTACCGTGTTTCCCCGAAAATAAGACCCTGTCTTATATTTTTCTGAACCCCGAAATAAGCTCTTGGCCTTATTTTCAGGGAGGTCTTATTATTTTGAGGCGCATGGAGCAAGATGGGGCTCCTCTTGCCATCTTACCTGATTTCCAGCTCTGTGTTTAAATATTTTCAGGGAGGTCTTATTTTCGGGGGAGGCTTATTTTAGCACATGCGCTCAAAAGCCCGATTGGGCTTATTATCAGGGGATGTCTTATTTTCGGGGAAACAGGGTAGCACTTAAACTGATACTGTTCCATACTGCTTTAAAGCAGCTGTCTCCAACCTTTCTAGCTCGGCGGACCGGCAGAGGCAGCAAGGCAGGAGGAGGGGGGGGAGTTCGCGAGTGTGTTCGCCCATCACTTCCATGGCCCGGTTCAGAATGGGCCGTGGATCAGGAGTTAGGAACCCCTGATTTAAATGCACTATGAGTGGTTTACAGAGTCAGCATATTGCCCCCAACAATTTGGGTCCTCATTTTATTGACCTCAGAGGGATGGAAGGTTGAGTCAACCTTGAGCCCGTCAGCATCGAACTCCTGGGCTGTGAGCAGAATTAGTCTGTAATGCTGCATTATAATGACTGCGTCACCCCAGCACTAGTTTTTTTGCTCATCTGATAAGGCTACATATCCAAGAAAAACTTTCCTCACCTAAACCCGGGTAGAACTTGGTGTCACTTGCTACCTTCAGATCAGTGCTGGTCAAAGAAATTGGCAGTTTGGGTAATGCCACAGCAGAAACTCGGTCCAGGTCATTAGTGGCTGAAAGGATTCGCCATTTCAAGATCATCGGCGGCTTGTCCCCAACTTAGAAATAAAGAGGAAGAGGATAATTAAAGTAGTACAAAAAAAAAAAAAAGCATTTGGTAACGGAACTTCTTTCCTTTCTGCTCAGCACAATCAAATTACTGTAACATTCACACTTTCTAGATGTGTTTGGGACGGCAATTCCCAGAATTCTGAGCAGCAGGGATACTGAGAATTCTTTGGGTGTGCTGGCTGTTCAGAATTCAGGGAACTGTAGTCCTGAAATTTGTGGAGAGGCCTGGTTTGGAAGAGACTGTGCGAGTGTACTATGTCACCTTGTACCTTGTACAAAATGAGCGGCATATAAATTTGGTAAATAAACAACTTTTCATCCAGAAAAGCAAACTGAACTAAGATGCACATACAAAACTAGTTTTCTTGTATTCCTAAAACACCACAGCTGAAGGAATATTGCATGGTCTGAAAATCTATGCATTTTACACACAGGTCGCCTACATTTTTTTTTCCAAAATGATACTAGTACTTTTTTTCAAATTTATCAAATGTATTGTTTCTAAGCAAAAGGAGCAGAAATTCAGCCTCAAATTTGCCAGGTCAAGATGTACCAATTTAATGGCTTCTCGCCTGGGGAAGAATCAAAAGAAGCTCATTTCCAGAGGGAAATAATTGTGATGAGAATCTGTTGCCAGGTGATTTCCTGTGCAAAGACAACAATTAAATATCATCTGTGGGTCTGATTGCTCTCAATTAGAAAAATTGCTCCTGCTGAGCTGTGAGGGAGGGAGATAAATAGAAGGAAAGCTGGAAAGAAAAGAGCAATTTTTTTATTGGCAACACAACCACATCTGTGAAAAACAAAGAATTTATTCATATGGGAGAAGCAGAATTCTAGTCCAGCCTTAGACACGAAAGCTGGTTGGGTGACTTTGAGCCAATCCCTAGGAGACTGTGAGTTCTAGTCCCACTTTAGGCATGAAAGCTGGTTGGGTGACTTTGGGCCAATCCCTAGGAGACTGTGAATTCTAGTTCCACTTTAGGCATGAAATCTGGCTGGTTGACTTTGGGTCAATCCCCTGGACACTGTGAATTCTAGTCCCTCCTTAGGCATGAAAGCAGCTGGGTGACTTTGAGCCAATCCCCAGAAGACTTTGTCCTGAACCCACAAGGCTCTGCCTATGCCTTTTCTGCCTCATTGCTTGGGCTAGAATTGCAGTTCACAGATTTCAAACTCCCCAATCTGACCATTCAGGAATCCAGGATGATTTCAGCCTAATGAGAAGAAGAAGCCATTTTCTGCTGAATTCTTTCTACATCTGCTACCTGACTCACCTGTGGGAGAAATCTGCTGGAAAATGTTGTTAACCGGCAGTCCTTCTTTCCGGAGTGACCAGCACTCCACAATGCTGTTGTTCTGACTGGAGGCACACAACAACATCTGGGGAAGGAGGGAAGGCCAGGTAGAACAATGTTAGCAACCTTACCAAATTTAAGATGTGTGGACTTCAATTCCCAGAATTCCCAGTCAGCATGCTGAGGTTGAAAAACACTGGGTTGCCCCCGGTTCAGACCAGTTCGCAAGAACCGATAGTAAAACTGGAGGGTGGCTCTGCCCACCGACCCCGACATCATCAAGAAGCTTCTGCTTATGTGCAGAAGCGCGCATATGCGAGCGAAGCAAGCGCGTGCACGCGGCCCTGTTGCGAACCGGTAGTAAAGGTAAGTACAACCCACCCCTGGTTAGTATATACCTCCAGAGGCATGTTTAATAAACACCTGGGAAGACCCGATTGGATCGGGTCCAAGTCCAATCACGTTTCCCATGGTTGTGCTCTAGGATAGGAGTGAGAAACTGATCCAGATGTGTTGTGGCTCTGACCCCCGAGGCCGACTTATCGGAGGGAGAAGGCTCCGAACATGAAGGAGAGGAGTTGGCCAGGCCTCCCTCTCCAGGACTCTCCTCTCTGGCAATGCCTCAGGTGTCTCCCGTAGGAGAAGAGATTGGCCAGGAGCCAGGAATCTCCTCACAGTCGGACAGTGAAGGAGATAAGTCTTGTCTCTCCACGCCAGCGTCGGAGAGACAAACGCATGCAACAGAAAAGGAGGCGTGCCAGAGATTAAGCTGAGTCACTGGACCACACCCCATGGGATATAAGGGGGTGAGGTGGCCATTCAGACTCTGTGACGGACAAAACTAACTATTATCGAGTCACATTGTATCTTTGGAAACAACGTTATCTGCCTTGGATTTAATTACGGACTGGACTTGACAATTCTTGAACTGTGTGTATCTTGTTTATGAGTAAAGTTCTTGGCAAGCAGCTACTGGGTTGCTGCTAATCCTCTTATCGAAAGAATTTGTTGTCTGCCAGTTTATTTAACCCCCGGCTGTCTGTCTGTGTGCATGTGTGAGATGGGGACAGAACAAGATGCAGCCCACCTCCTACTAGCTTCAGAGTTCACTGGAAGCTCCTCCCCCCATTTGTTCATTGTGCATCTAGATCAGGGGTGTCAAACTCATGGCCCGCAGGCCAGATGCATCACGCACTGGCCACGCCCATGCCCGGTTTAGTGAAGGAGAAAAAAAACGTCACGGTACACCACGTGACAATGCGAGTTTGACACCCCTGATCTAGATGAACAATGTTTCTCAAACTTGGAACTTTTAAGATATGTGAACTTCAACTCCCAGCATGCTGACTGGCTGGGGAATTCTGGGAATTGAAGTCCACACATCTTAAAGTCTCAAAGCCTGAGAAACATTGTTCTGGAACGCCTAGTATTTAAAATTCAAAATAATTAGTGGAAGGCAGAGATTATGGTGAGAAGACAGCAGATAGATAGATAGATAGATAGATAGATAGATTGATAGATAGATAGATAGATAGATAGATAGATAGATAGATAGATAGATAGATAGATAGGCAATCACAATAGCACTTGAATTTATATACCACTTCCCGGTGCTTTACACCCCTCTCTAAGCAGTTTACAGAGTCAGCATAAATGCCCCCAACAACCTGGCTCCTCATTTTACCCACCTTGGAAGGATGGAAGGCTGAGTCAACCTTGAGCAGGTGGGACTCGAACTGCCGAACTGCAGGCAGCCGGCAATCAGCAGAAGTAGCCTGCAGTACTGCATTCTAACCATTGCGCCAACCCGGCTCTAGATAAATGTGTGTGAGAGATTGCATATGCACATGTGTGTGTGCATGCAAGCACTTGAGTGAAGAGTAACCATGGGGCTCTGTCCATGCTGATCTATGGCTTTTGCCCACTTCCAAGATACAACCATTCTCCAAAGATAATCCATGAAGGAATGAAGCTCCCGAGGCGAAAGCAGTTCTCTGTTCTTTTTCCACGATATAGGTAGCCCTTGACTTATAACTCTAATAGAGATTGCCTATGATGGTCATCAGTTGTGATGGTCATAAAATGAGTCATCCATGTGACCAACCTGATTTTACAACCTTTTTTGCAGTAGTCATTAAGCAAACGCTGCAGTCATTCAATGAAACCATTGTTTGCCAAAAGCCAATTTTGCCAAAAAGGGAAGTAAATGTTGGTTTTCAGCAAAATAACATTATAAAATGTAGTCATATGACCACCGGCCCAGTGGTGGGTTCCTCCCGGTTCGGCTGAGCCTGTAGCGGTGACGATATGACATCACCGAACCAGTTCTCCCCACCCGCCCTCCCACCCCCCCACCCCCCACGTTATTTTTACCTTATATTTGGTCCCACCCTCAATCTATTGCTGCCTCCTGAGTCCCAGCTGATGACTAGAGGGAAAAAAACTGTTTAAACTCTTGCCGGGGGGCTTCAAAGGGCCGTCCTACAGCTGATCAGTGTTAAAAGCAAACAAATGAGTCGGGTCGTAAGTGCGAGGACTGGTCGTAAGTGCGAGGACCTTCCAGAAATGTCTGACCAGCTAGCCACGCCCACCTAGTCACATGACCTTCAAGCCACACCCACAAAATAAGCCACGTCCACAGAACCGGTATTAAAAAAATTTAGAACCCACCTCTGCCTATGATGGTCATCAGTTGTGATGGTCATAAAATGAGTCATCCATGTGACTGACCTGATTTTACCACCTTTTTTGCAGCAGTCATTAAGCAAACTCTGCGGTCATTAATAAAGCCAATTTTGCCAAAAAGGGAAGTAAATGTTGGTTTTCAGCAAAAAAACATTATAAAATGTAGTCCTATGACCACCGGCCACTATAAATGGCCATAAATAGAGGCTTGCTGCCGAACGCATACGTGGTCATATGGCCTTGGGGTGGAGGGCAACCATCAGAACCAGGTTGTTAATTACTCCTGTGGGGGTCCTTTGCGACTTTGAACAGTTGCTAAGCAAATACCTTCGGAGATTCTCAGTCATCCAAGGTCATGGATGTCCCAAAGATGCTTTTTTCAAGGGGCAACTGGACTTCCTTGGCTTTTCCTTGTAAATGTTTCACTTCTCATCCAAAAAGCTTCTTCAGTTCTGAAGAAGCTTCTTGGTTGAGAAGCAAAAGGTCTTCTAGGAAAAAACAAAATCCAGCTGCCTCTTTAAAAAGGATCTTTGGGACAATCGGTAAGTAACTAGTTGTATGTCAAGGATTACAAGTAAATGCAAGACTACTATCACCTCCTTCCATGTGGACTAACTCTACGGACAGACAATATCCACTCCTTCCATGTTTCTGCATCGGGTTCTCCAGGTTCTTTACTATTTTGATGGCGAAAAGTATATAATGTTTTTTAAATTGTTTTTAAATTTTATATGTTGTGTTTTTACCATGGCTGTTCACCGCCCTGAGTCCTGTTGGAGAAGGGCGGTAGACAAATTAAATAAATAAATAAATAAATAAATAAATAAATAAATAAATCATCATCATCATCATCATCATCATCATCATCATCATCATCTGATCTGTCTTCAACCGACTAATCTAGACATGGCCAAGTAGCTAGAAGGAAGAGGCAGCTAGGACTGGAGAAGGAAACCCCGAGGACCTCACCTGCTCAGACATGTCGCGAGCTAGAAATTTCAAGTGGGTGATTGCAGGATATTTGTCTTTCCGAGCTGGGTCTGTGGTGCAGCGCATGAACAAGGAGGGCAGGATCTCGGTGTCAATCTTACACTTCTCGTTCACCACACTGACGCAGACTTTGTAGAACTGGACTGGAGAGGCACTGCTGCCATCTGACGTGGCCACCACAATGTTGCCTCCACCGGTGAAAGCAATATCAGCCAAGGCCACCCGGCAGCGCAGGCGGCAGAGGCTCTCCGTGGAGGTCAGCACTTGTCCGTTGGGCTTCAGCAGTGAGACGATGACCAGCCCGCTGATGGTTACCGCGATCCAGCCTTCCATAGGTTTCCCCCCAAAAAGGGTCAACGATGGGGAGAATTTGACCCGGGAGAATTTCTCACCAAAATTGGATGCTCCAGACTAAGGACAGAAGGAAACAGAAGATATTTAGGAAAGAGATGATTATCAAGCATATTACAGGTAGTCCTTGACTTGCAACCATTCGTTTAAGTGACTGTTTATAGAGTTACAACGGCACTGAAAAAAGTGACTTGTGATCGTTTTTCACACAACCGTCGCAGCACTGATTTTGCTTGCAGGAAGCTGGCAGAAAAGGTCGCAAATGACAATCATGTGACTGCAGCTCATTGTGATGTAACCACAAGCCAGGCACCCAAATCATGAGATCCAGAACTTTGAAGTCACTGAACGAATGGATGTAAATTGAGGACTACCTGTAGAATAGCAACCCTTAATTAACCTACCGTATTTTTCAGAGTATAAGATGCATCTTTCCCCCCCTAAAAGGGGGTGAAAATTTGGGTGCGTCTTATACACCGAATGTAGCCCTGCCCACCTACTGGCCCCCACCCTTTGGCTTCTGCCTCCCAGCAATTTACCTACTTGCAGCAAACAGCAAGAAGAAACAGCCCATTTCAGTTTCAGCACAGCCTAATTAGCACAAGTTGATTGTCCCTTGGATCGGCCTCCCGATTCTCAGCTGTTTCAGGCTGCAGGGATTGCCATTGCTTATTGCTGCGCGGGCCTCTGCTGCTTGCTGCAAGGAGGTAAATTGCTGGGAGCAGATTGTTTTTTTCTTGTGCTGATCAAGCTATGCTGAAAACGAAAATGAAAGTAAAGCAGGCTGTTTGCTGCAATGAGGCAAAATTGCTGGGAGGCAGAGGCAGAGGCAGATTTCTTTTTCTTGTTTTGCTCACCAAAAAAGGTAGGTGCTTCTTATAGTCTGGAGCCTCTTATACTCCGAAAAATATGATACTTACCTTCTCCACATGCAAAGCCAGTTTCACCCCATTGTGCAGCCAAGAAAGTGCCACTACTGGGTCTCCTTCCACTTCACTGCCCACTTCGCTCTCCCAGCTGTTGGCCAGGTGGTCCATCATACTCCAACATTTGACGTGCCCATCAGCATCAGCAGACAGAAGTCTGGATCCTGCAGCCGGAAAAAAAAAAGTCAGAATACCAATCAAGGGAAGGACAGGCCCATCCTCTAGGTGTAAAATGGAATGAACTGATCTCGCATATTTTAATGATGTCTTAAAGGTAACGTTTCTTTCATTAACTTTTTGATTTTAGGGAATATCATGAAAGAGACAACACAAGGATTAGTGAAATGATATTTTATCATCATAGGTTATAATAGCAGAATCTTGAAAGGCTAACAGTTTCCTTGCACCCTCTTATACCAAACAGTAGAGTAGTGTTATTTTGAGTCTCTTTCTCATGTCCTCTTCTCCCTCCCAGGATTGAAATTGTCATTTATAATCTCTTAATGATCCTTTTATTCCTTCATCAAGGTCAATTTCATGCTCATAGCCATGTAATCATCTTGGCAACAACCCAGATATGGTTTGTCCATGCTTTCTTTTAGGATATTTTGTGAATAGTCTACAGCCGTGAAGTTTGCTGGTAGTTTCTCATTAAAATAGCTTCTGGGATCAGTTAAGGTCAGCTGGGTATCTAATAATATAAACCACTTGTCAACTTCGAACTGAACCTGGCAGCAGCCATCTTTCTGTTCCTCAGTTGCCACACAGAGGGGAAAGTGGGGAAGGAGGTTGGAATGCATTACTAGACAAAACAAAGAGCTTTCTCCTGAGAACCAAGGTCATCTCTACCAGCAACCGATAAGGTTGGGGAAGGAATGCCTGAAGAGTCCGCCAATTAACCCAATTGGCCAATGTGACTTGTGACACTTGGGGATGGGTTTATTTCCTAGTTTAATTACGTTATTTTTCGGACTATAAGACGCTCCGAAGTATAAGACACACCTAGCTTTTGGGGAGGAAAAAAAAAGGGGGGGGGAAATCTGCCTCTGCCTCCCAGCATCCATCCGGTATTCATCTGGCCTGTTTGCCACAGCCCGTTTGCCACCTGTTTGCCGCCGCCACGGCCCATTCTAAAACAACTGATCGGCGCCACACCAACCCCCTCCTCCTACTGCAATATTTGGAGTGTAAGACGCACAGACATTTCCACCCACTTTTTTTTGGGGGGGGGGGGGGGAGTGCATCTTATATTCCGAAAAATATGGTATACTGAAATCATGGGAAAGATTTAGAATTGGTTTTCCATTCCACTGTGCTGATATGATGTACTCAATAAAGAGGACCTTTGAGAAGGAGCCAAATCTTGGGTTTGTTAGTTGACACCATCCTTCCCCACCCTGGCACTTTCTCCAATAAATCTGGAAAGTACCAGCCTGAAGAAATGGATCTTTAATATCAATTTCATCAACTCATCCTGACACTTCAAGTTTGTTTTTGAAAAACCCAGGCAACCCAATGGTGGAGACACTTTTTATTTGCAAGTGCCACGAAATGAATCTGAGGTCTTCATGTCAAATAGGTGCACCAAGCTACAGTTGTCCTTCTTTACCTGACTGATCCCATTCCAAGCAGGTGATTACTTCAATGTGTCCAGAATTGATGGAGTGGACGTCCCATGGATGTTCTGTGTCAAGGATGTGGATCATATGAGTGAGGTCTGAGGGAGGAAATGAAAGAAAAAAAAGTGACAGAGATGGTGTCAACCCTGAAGCTGATCTGACCAAAGCCATTTTGAAGCTTCAATGCTTCCACACTGGAGCTGAGGGATAGGGAGGGGGAAATAGAGATAGCTGGGGTTTGTAGCCAAAACAAAATACTTTCTCCTGGGAACCAAGGACATTCTGACACTTCGTCAGGGAGAGGAGGAGTGACGTTACCAGGCAACCGGACAGCACCCTGATTGGATCATGTGACTGATTGGGGAAAGGGAAAAACTTTTACTTTTAATTAGGTGAAAATCGCGGGAACCTTCAGAGTCGGTTTTCACCAGAACAGTGTCAATATGATATATCCAATAAAACTATACTTTGAGGAATCTACCTGCCTTGGAGTTTTCTTTGCTATGGGTGTATTACTTGGAACCCTGACAGATGGATGAGAAAGCAGTAGACGGGAGAAAATATTATTTAGAATTAACACTGCAGCTGTTTGGAGATCAGGTAGAGTAAATGAGATGGCAAAGCTAGGTTTAAGATTGAGGGAGCCTCGGGTCAATCAGCCTCTGCTTTAGACTCACTTCCAGCTCTAAATGGAGAAGTAATAATAATGGGTAGATTTTCCATGCTAGTTCCCCACATCTACATTGGACTACAACAGGGGTGGGCAACTGTGGCCTTTTTACAACCTGTGGACTTCAAATCCCAGAATTCCTGATAGCCAAGCTGTCTCAGAAATTCTGGGAGTTGAAGTCCACAGGTTGTAAAAGGGCCACAATTGCCCACCCCTGGACTACAGGTAATCCTCGATTTACAATAATTCATTTAGTGACTGTTCAAAGTTACAGCAGCACTGAATAAAGTAACTTACGACCATTTTTCACAGTTACAAACTTTGCAGCATCCCCATGGTCCTGTGATCAAAATTCAGATGCTTGGCAACTGGTTCGTATTTATGACGGTTACAGTGTCCCTGAGTCATGTGACCCCCTTTTGCGACCTTCTGACAAGCAAAGTCAATGGGGAATCCAGGTTGATTTAACCCATTTGGGTTATTAATTTAACAACTTCCAGTGATTCACTTAACTACAGTGGTAAGTAATGTCGTAAAATGGGATAAAACTCCATTTTGACATTAACAATTAACAAATTTCTCACTTAACAACAGAAAATTTGGGCTCAATTGTGGTCGTAAATTGAGGAGAACCTGTATTCAAAATAACATGAAGATCTGCCCGTAGTCTGGATCTTTGATCTCTGCACTAAAACCTTTCATGATGGGGAAAGCAACAGCTATGGTCTGTTGCCCATCTAGGATTCAAGAGCAGATTGTCTCTGGAGGCTCCACTGAGCCATCCATGAATTTATGTAATCTGCCCAATTCTCTGTGAAAGCCGAGAAAATACAATACATTCGCCATTATCAGATTGAAGCTATTTAATGGGCTGACCCCTATGTTTGGTACAAGATTATCCATTTCTTCATATTCTCTTATTTATCTACTTATACCCCGCCTTTATTATTTTTATAAATAAGTCAGTGAACATACTGAATAGACCTTCCTCCTGTTTGTGAGCAACTTTTATTTATTTATATCCCACCTTTATTTTTTATAAATAACTCAAAGTGGCATACAATACTTCCTCTTCCTCCTATTTTCCCTACAACAACAATCCCTGTGAGGTGGGTTGGGCTGAGAGAGAGTGACTGGCACAAAGTCACCCAGCTGGCTTTCATGCCGAAAGTGGGACTACAACTCCCAACCTCCTGGTGATTGGCCCGAAGTCACCCAGTCAGTTTTCACACGTAAGGCATGTCACAGTCTCCTGGTTTCTAGCCTGGTGCCTTAAATATTAGACCAAAGTGGTTAAAATCTTAAAACAATACCCTGTTTCCCCCAAAATAAGACATCCCCTGATAATAAGCCCAATTGGGCTTTTGAGTGCATGGAAATAAGGCCAAGCGCTTATTTCAGGGTTCAAAAAAATATAAGACAGGGTCTTATTTTCAGGGAAACATGGTATTTTTATTTATTTATTTATTTTGATTTGATTTATATGCTGCCCTTCTCCGGAGACTCAGGGCGGCTTACAATGTGCTAAGCAATAGCCTTCATACTTTTGTATATTTATACAAAGTCAGCTTATTGCCCCCACAAACTGGGCCCTCAATTTACCTACCTTAGAAAGGATGGAAAGCTGAGTCAACCTTGAGCCTGGAGAGATTCGAACTTACAGTAATTGCAGACAGCTGGTGTTAATCACAATGCTATTAGTCTGCTGAGCCACCAGGCCCAGGTATTAAAATATTAAAACAATTTCAGCAACTATCTTCATATTCCAGAATGTATTAAGAGTAATGTCAATGGCAAAGAAGCCAACATAGTAGGAAATACCTTTTTCCTCCTCATTTTTGAGATCCGTGGTGAAAGCAATCAAATTGCGACAAGACCAGGCACAGACCAGTGGAATGGATGGGCAGTGGTTACTCTTTGGACGCTTCTCCCACTCACAGATATATGCCAGATCCATTGTGTCTTCCTCAATTTAATAGCAGGGAACTGCTACCTAGAAGAAAATTGCAACTGGAAGCTGCTGTAACTATTACAAAGAAAAAATAATAATACCAGCTGATAAACCAAAGGGAATCACAGCAGCCATCCCCTGTTCCACTTCTTAAAAGTATGCTGCTTGCAATATTTTGTCCAAAGTTTGGACAAAAGGTAAGGAAGCAGTAAGTGTCTGCAAGGCAGAAGAAGGAACATCAACACACAGATAAGGCAACAGACATTTCCCCACTCTTCACTATATTAATTCCATCAGATGAGCACCATCATCCAAATTGTGTGTCACTGGTAGAGAGTTGGACTTTTTTCCAAGTAGGATCAACTGGAATGATAGTCTCTTTTTAATTCAGTTTCTTCCTAAATCAAAGACAAAGGACCTGTATGTGAAATAAATTCACATTTTCTCCTTTTTTTTCTTTTAATTTTGATTTATATGCCGCCCTTCTCCGGAGACTCAGGGCGGCTTACAATGCGCTAAGCAATAGCCTTCATCCTTTTTGTATATTTATACAAAGTCAGCTTATTGCCCCCACAACTGGGTCCTCAATTTACCTACCTTAGAAAGGATGGAAGGCTGAGTCAACCTTAAGCCTGGCGAGATTCGAACCTGCAGTAATTGCAGGCAGCTGGTCTTAATAACAGGGTGCTTTAAACCACTGTACTACAAAGGCTTTAACTTTGCCCCCATTTACCTCCTCTTTTTAAAAAAAAAATTATCCAGGCATGTTTACAAAGGCAGCCACAAAGTCCTCTGCTTTTGTCAAAGGGAGAAAAGCATCATCCTGCGTTCACAATGCAAGATGCACATCCAAAAGGGGCCAAACTGGTGTCCCAACCCTCTTTTGTGATTTGCCTCCAATACCTGCCTTCCCTCTCACACACACCCCAAAGACATCTCTGAATTGCTGGATCACATCTGGCTGGCCATAATGGTAGATGTAGCTGAAAAAGCTGAAACAACATGTCATCTCATCCTTTAAACCCCATAAATCCCTAAGTGAGCTTTAAAAGGAATGTAAGGTTTCAAATAGATTCAATGAACCAGTTGGATTAACTGAAACAATGATGATGGAAAAAAATAATGCTATTGAGGCAGACTACAATATCTGTTATTTTTTAAATGAATCTTTCTAAATCTGTAGCCATCGGGAAATGCTTTGCGATCTTATGTTCATACAACATAAGAATATGTAAGGTAGCTGTAGATATTGGGAAAATGAATCCTTGGTGTCCTCTTGAGCTTGGTTGTTTTCCGCAGTCATTTCATTGTCCAAGAAATGGACAACAACAGGGGTGGGCTTCAAAAATTTTAGCAAGGGGTTCTCTGCCCGGTTGCTGGTGGCCATGGCCATGATGGGCGTGGCCTAGTCGGCCTCCTGCACCACAGCGGGGGGGGGCATTTTTGCCCTCCCCGGGCTCCAGAGGTTTTCCTCGAGCTTCCGGGAGGGGGAAAATGGCCTCCCCAGGCTCCAGAGGCCCTCTGGAGGCTGAAAACTGGCCCATTTCTGCCCTTCCTGAACTTCTGGTAGGCCAGTTTTTCGCCCTCACCGAGCCTCCACGCACGCCCTGCACTTACCTGCATCCAAAATGAGCTGCATGGGGACTCCTGGGAAGGGCGGGTTGGGCAGGGCCAGCCAGGAGTGGGGTTTGGGGGTTCTCCGAACTGCACAGAATCTTAGCTAGAGGTTCTCCCCAACCCCCAGCAGCCCACCCCTGGACAACAACCAAGAAAACAACCAAGCTCCGAGAGCACCAAAGATTCCACACTTCCACCCTGACCTACAAACATTTTCTTCTATTGTTAGTTTTCTTCCTTGTTGCAATTTGATTTGAATGCCATTAATGGTTTTAAATTGCATTTATCACAACTAGGTATATGCATTAGCCATAAATGTTCATGCAGACAAGAAGGAGCTAATTAGGCAATCAAAACCAACCCTAGCATCAAATTAAAGCACTCCCTGTTCAGCCTTTTGCCTGAACACATCCCATGAAAAGATCCCACCATGTCTCTGCTTTAATTGTCAAAATGTACTTTAGTTGTCAAAATGTCATGTTAGGTAGTTCTTCCAGTATTTTGTGTCCCTAATAGTGGGGAGAGTGAGAAGAGATCTTGATCTTTGCGACTGTAACTTTCCTCCAAGTATTTTTTTTTAATTTATTTATTATTAAATTAATATACCGCCCTTCTCCCGAAGGACTCAGGGCGGTAAAGAGCCACAAGATAAAAACACATAAATACAAAAATTTAAAATAAAATAAAAACGAATTAAATAATTTGGCTGAATTTAAAATACCCCATAATTTAAAACAAATTAAAATTTACATTTAAAAAGGGGAGAAGATTTAGGCCAGGCTAGATAATTTAAACAGCATTATCATTTCCCTTCCTTAGCTGTCTCTTCCCTCAGTTAAATATATCTGGTTTCCTCAATCTCTCCTCATGAAGGCCTTGTTTCCAATTCCCTAATTAAACTTGCACTTTTTACAATTACTTTTTACAATCACTCCAGGTTTTTAAAAAGGGGATGTTTGGAACTGAACACAACATTCAAGGTGGATTCTGAGCTATGCAGTATTATCATAGAAACTGCATTTCCTATAATTTGGGACCTGTGCTTCTATCAATGCAGCCCAAAACTGCATTTCCCCCTTTTTTCAACTATGTTGCACTGCTGAAGCATATTCAGTTTAAGATCAGTGACAATTCCAAAAATAATAATAATAATAATAATAATAATAATACTAATAATAATAATAATAATAATAATAATAATTTTATTTCTATACCGCCCTTCTCCCGAAGGACTCAGGGCGGTGTACAGCCAATTTAAAAACATAAGACACAACAATAATTAAAAATTAAAATAATTAAATAGATCTGAATCTTTTCAGATGCATCGCCACTAAGCCAGGTACCCACTATCTGACAGCTGGGGAATTCTGGGAGTTGAAGTTCACAAATCTCAATGTCACCAGGTTTAAGGAACACTAGTCCAGATTTTTGCAGCCTAGATATGATGGTTCTAAATATGACAGGTCTTCCCTTCTTCTGTTCACTCAAGTCATTCATGAAAATGTTAATGGGTACCATTTCCAGGAACAAACCTGTACCTTCCCATTAAATGCCTTATTATTCCAGGTTCATCCCAATTTGATTTTTAAAACATGACTATTCTGTCCATTCTGTGATTATCAGTTAGAGTCAACAGTGACTTCATGGCGCATAATCAATCAATCAATCAATCAATCAATCAATCACTCTTTGAATATGGTTTTGAAGGCATCTGTGTTTTTTCCTTAATTGATCTAAGTTGCCAGTACAGGTAGACCTCGATTTACGACTACAACTGTGCCCAAAATTTGTTAAGTGAGACATTTGTTAAGTGAATTTTGTCCCGTTTTATGACTTTCTTACCACAGTTGTTAAGTGAATTACTGCAGTTGATAAGTTAGCAACCCAGTTGTTAAGTGACTCAGGCTTCCCCATTGACTTTGCATGTCAGAAGGTCACAAAAAGGGACCACATGACCCTCTGGGACACAGCAATAGTTATAAATATGAACCAATTTTACTAAGCATCTGAATTTGGATCACATGATCGTGGGGGGGATGCTGAAAAGGTACTTTGAAAAAAATGGTCAGTAATTTTTTTCAGTCCCATTGTAACTTTGAACGGTCACTAAACGAACTGCTGTAAGTCGAGGACTACCTGTAAAAACTACTGTTAGCACCCTGTCAAATGCTTGCTAAACTCAAATTGTATTAAATTCATAGCATCCCACAAGCTACCAAAAACCCCAAACCAGTAATCACTGCTTTGTATCCTGTGTCATGGCTCTAAAAGATTAATGCCTCAACGAACGATGCAAGGGGGGAAATTACTCTGGAAGTATAAACTCTGCAGCAAAAATATCTTCCGAGAATAGCTTTAAAATGTTGAGATGTTTAGCATTCTTTCTTACTTCTCCTTCCCCCCCCCGTTCTTCCCAAATGAACTCTCCCATATCCCCCTACTTACCCCAACCATCCATGCGGTCCAGCTCCCGTGCGCATGCGCCAAAATATGGGCTTTTCTCTTTAACGCTGTCTAATGAAGTGCCTGATATTCATGTGAAATAAAGTGAAATAAAATCTTTTAAAAGTTCACCCCAGAGAAAAATTTAATCTTCCCAAGCCTCTTTTGCTGCGAAAACTCAAATTCCCGTTTCTTTTCGGGGTTCTTAATAAGGATGAACACCTCCGTCTGATCTTAATTCCTACCCAAACCTTCCGTGATGATTTGCATACGTCCCTTCCCATCATGCACCCCGAAGAAAGAGAAAAATCAGATAATTTGTTGAAAAGATTTTTAATGTATTTTAATACTATGATTTAAAAAACAGAGAGAGCTAAGATCATCTTTCATGGACGTAAAAATAACGGGCATATTTACAATTTACATTATCTCATCATAACATTACAGCTACCCACATAAAAACCTTTATATACCGTACAAGGCAGAGTTAAATTTGTGCTCGCTTCGGCAGCACATATACTAAAATTGGAACGATACAGAGAAGATTAGCATGGCCCCTGCGCAAGGATGACACGCAAATTCGTGAAGCGTTCCATATTTTGCAACTAGAACAGACCTCCCTTGCAGCCTCGTTTGCCTACACTAAACTATTTTTTTTACAAAAATCACTAGCTTCTCCAAACAGGTTGTGAGAAGTCTTTGGAAAAATTCGCTGTTTGATTCATGAAATTATTGAGTATTATTTTTTAGAACAGTAGAAAGGCATTGAAAGTGAATAAATTTGGTTGGAGGTATTACCAAATTATGAGTTTAGATTGCATCATTAAGTTGGTTCCTTTTTTTAAAAGGAATAAATTGCCGCTCCCTCATCTTATGTGCATTTTAATGTTGCTGTATTATGTGTATATTGTGTCTATCACTGATATTTAAGTTTTAAATATACACATAAGAATCTATTTAGAAATTTATTTATTTAACATATGGCAGAAATATTAAAAAGTGCATCACAATTAAATTCTCAATGAGCTAATATTAAACTATTTAAGGTAGTCCTTTGTTTAGTGACCTTTATAATGGCACTGAAAAAGTGACTTATGATCATTTTTCACACCTACAACTATTGCAGCATCCCCATGGTCATGTGATCAAAATTTGGAGGCATGGCAACTGAATCATATTTATGATGGTTGCAGTGTCCTGAGCAGAGGTGGGTTTCAGCAGGTTCTGACCATTTCTGGAGAACCGGTAGCGGAAATTTTGAGTAGTTTGGAGAACCCTTAGTATAAATTCTGACTGGCCCGACCCCCATCTATTCTCTGCCTCCCGAGTCCCAGCTGATTGGGAGGAAATGGGGATTTTGCAGTATCCGTCCCCTGCCATGCCCACCAAGCCATGCCACGCCCACCAAGCCATGTCACACCCACCAAGCCACGCCCACAGAACCGGTAGTAAAAAAATTTGAAACCCACTATTGGTCCTGAGTCATATCCAGGGGTGAAATCCAGCAGGTTCTGACAGGTTCTGGAGAACCGGTAGCAGAAATTTTGAGTAGTTTGGAGGACCAGCAAATACCATCTCTGGCTGGCCCCAGAGTGGGGTGGGAATGGAGATTTTGCAATATCCTTCCCCCAGGAGTGGAGAGGGAATCGGGATTTTGCAGTATCCTTCCCCTGGAGTGGAGTGGGAATGGAGATTTTGCAGTATCCTTCCCCTGCCATGCCCACCAAGCCACGCCCACCAAGCCACACCACGCCTACCAAGCCATGCCCAGAGAACCGGTAGTAAAAAATTTGAATTTCACCACTGGTCATATGCAACCTTCTGACAAGCACAGTCAATGGGAAAGCCACATTCACTTAATGACCATGTTACTAACTTAACAACTGCAGTGATTCACTTAACAACAATGGCAAGAAAGGTCATAAAATTTTGGGCTCAGTTGTGGTTGTAAGTCAAGGACTACCTGTGCTCCATTTACAAATTCAAAGGTAGTCTATTTATACAGTAAATACATGATGGAGTTGCATATAAAAAGTCTCTGGGATTTCCCTGATATGCATTCAAACTTCAAAGGCCACTTTTTAAGATTGAAAAATGCAGTTGTAATGTTAATAATAAGCCAATATTATTTCTAATGCTATTCTTATTGTATTATGTATTTAGAATAGAATATAGAATATTTATTAGCCAAGTGTGATTGGACACACCAGGAATTTATCTCCGGTGCATAAGCTCTCAGTGTATATTGCATCACATCTGAAGTTTTAAAAATTAAAATATATTTAAAATTGTTGAAATAAAATAATTGTTATCACACCATCACTGTGCTTATTACAACTACCATTACGGTGAATATTTCCTTGTAAGTACCTGGACCTTTTTGTCCTATAACAAACATAAGGTACTCCTGTTGCGGCAATAATGGGACTCAGACCTCGGAATCAAAAGGAGTTGTATTTATTTGCGCAAAAGGTTCAGAGCAATATAGCCATAGCAACATCTGACTCCCCTCTTATGGAACAACAAGCACTTATATACTTATCAAAAGCAGCAAAACATGGAAATATAGCATATCAGCATTGATTGGTTATATTATTGATAGCCCCCTGTTGCTCTGTTAAAGAAGTAAATATCTTACTCCCCCTTCATACAGAATGAGGTAACAGGTGTCTTGCAGGAAGTATCTAGGTTTCCAGCAGCTCATTGAATAACTGTGAACTTTGAGGTTTGACATTTTCCATCTCCTTCACACCTTTTATTATTTAACAAGCAATCTTTTATGACCTTCTTTTTATTCTGCCTCACTCCTGCTTGTAAAATGCAATCTTAACTCTGTTTAGAACAAAAACAAATTAGAATTACTTATATATTTATATAAATTATAGCATTCATATTATATTTACCGTGTTTTTAAAAGGCTCATATTGTATTAATAAAGCATAATCGTAACAGAAGCTCCATCCAATGTGATGTTCAAAGATGAAAAGAGTCACAAACGTTCTCTGTAAATGAATCTATTAAGGCTGAGCCATACAGAGGCTGGGTAGAAAAGGAATTTACAGAAGAGAAGCCTAAGAACTGATAAATTGCAAAGAAGTTGTATTTTGGAGCAAAGCAAAATATGGAACGCTTCACGAATTTGCGTGTCATCCTTGCGCAGGGGCCATGCTAATCTTCTCTGTATCGTTCCAATTTTAGTATATGTGCTGCCGAAGCGAGCACAAATTGTTTCTCGGCTTGAGAAATATTTAAAGGTTATTTCACCAGTTTTTCTCAAGTTATGGTGATCAATGCCATAACTAGGATTTGTTTTTTTTTTCTTTCTATATTCCAAATATTTCTTCCCATTCCAGTGAATTGCTTTCCAAACAAATCTACACCCTTTAAAATTAATTTTAAAAACGACAGGCTTTACGGAGTTCCCCTAGTGCATGATGGGAGGCGCCTATGCAAATAAAGTCATGCTTTCCTCTATCTCTCTATCACGCACGCGATACTGTTCCCCTTTTACTTCTTTTCTTCAATGAATACCATTTTTCTCGTGCATTCCTGATTTTTCCCCCCAAAACACTTTGGAAAAAGTGCTCAGTGTATCAAAAGGAAAAACTGCTAAATGTAACCCTATCTGCGGGCAGCATACTGCAGCCCTTCAAACATCCAGTTGCTGCTATTCTTTACACGCGAGGAAGGGGCTGGCAAGGCGGGGTTTGCTCCGCGTGCAGATTTCCCCCGTCCGTGCCTTGTTTCCACAGACGAATCTGCGCGTTGCCCCCATTGCAATGCCCATTAAAAAAAAAAAAAACCCGACGCCTCCATTGCATTCCACCCGAAGGCCCCTAACTAGAGGCAACCCCCCCCATCCGCACCCTCTCCCCTCATTTCTTGGCTGAATCCCCCCAGCCTTCCCGCTGCATCAGACTACAGAATAGAATTAGGATAGGATGGGATAGGATAGAATAGGATAGGATGGAACGGAACGGAACGGAACAGAACAGAACAGAACAAGGATAGGATAGGATGGAAATAGAATAGGATAGGGTAGGAATAGGAATAGGAATAGGAATAGAATGGGATGGGATGGGATGGAACGGAACGGAACGGAACGGAACAAGGATAGGATAGGATAGGATAGGATAGGATAGGATAGGATAGGATAG